AAACTTACTCTCTCTCTCTCTCTCTCTCTCTCTCTCTCTCTCTCTTTTAAAGACGTGTGTGCAACCATGCACAGCCAGAGAACTGACTGAAGATAAGGAAGAAAAACCCGCATCTCTGTTGCCGAGCCAATGAGAATAGCAGGGCTGCAGGGTACAAAATTATTCCAGACAGAAAGGGGTATCACCCTAAAATAAATAAATAAATAAATGAGAGAGAATAGAGAGAGAACAAACATAGTTCATGTCGATGTCCTTTGTCCAAGTTAAAAATAGTAACAAGAATGGCACCAATTAAACCAGTTTCAGTCATCGTGTATGAGCATATATGCATGAATGCTGACCCAGTAGCCATAAAGCAAAGGGTGACTAAAATGGAGAGCATTCCCATGAGAAAAATAAGCATGTTTCTAATTTAAGGAATCATCTTATGATCCCCTTAAAGCTTAAGTAGACCACAAAAAGGAAGTAGCGTATTTCAAGAGAAGCTACTCATAATATAACATATCCAGCAAAAATCTGCTAGGAATGACATTTGATACCTTAAGATGATAGCTACACGAATTGATCATATGCAGGACAACACTTTTAAAATATCTAATGCAGCATCACTCTCAGGGAAATGTGCTACATCCACTAACAAAGAAGATGAATAATAGAGTGAATTTTCTTTCTGAGTAGGTTAGCAGAGGGATTTGAGCCTTGGACATTGTGCTGTGGCCTAAAATCTCTAACCACTAACCAAGAGCCCTTTGACGTCAGAATCATAAGCTGCAGTACCTCACTATGGAAATCGACAGAAGCATGGATTGATATACATTAAGGATACAACTAGGCATTTCATGACAGTCCAGATATGGTCATGGGCTGAAGGCCAACATGCATAAATATGTGCTTACCTTACATTTGACACAGGTGTGGGGTGTCTACAAGCACTTGGCATTAAGGCAATACACACGCGTTACACACAATATAATCTCATTAAATATTTAAACAATTGGTACTGTAAACCATGAGAGGGATTCAGATACTTTGCTTAGCGACTACGGTGTAATGGGCCCTCAACTGAACAGCCAAAGTTCGAATCCCAGCTATTTAACTACCCTATAAAAGGATGGTCTTTTTTTTGTACCTACCACCTACCACCTACCACCCACCACCCACCACCCAAATCCAAGGAAAAATATAATGGATGAGGCTAAAACCAAGAACGTTCTTACATCACAGACAAATCCCATAAGACATTCTCAAAAATCTGGAGTAAAGTCCAGTAATAAGTATTAGGATGAGGCGATTTGTTTTAACACCTCTCACTTTTGTTGGTTTAAATACCAAACCCTAAACATTTTCTTATTTCTAAGAATGAAGGTTGACATTTATAGATTTGTGAGGAAATGTGTGCAGAAAGCAAAAATGGTGTCCCCCAAGTCAGTCGCTCTATATTCCCAAAAGTACTAGTGAGGAACCCGAAAAAACCAAAAAATAGCGAACACAAATGAGAAAACCAAAAAAGGTGGCACCAGTTGCGGCTTTAGTTACCCCCCTTTACTAATAACAGTGATAATAATGATAAAGCAATATCACAAAGATCATGTAAATCATGTTAATTAATATCACAAAATGTTTTTTTCTTTAGAAAGGAACAAAATACATCTTAAAAAAAGAACAAAGTAAGTTCCGCATTCAAGTGTCACTGGATAAATTTCCCTTAAAGAGTATTCATTACCAATGTTGACATGAATAAAGCACCCCGACAGAAAGATTGAAGAAACACACATGCACATGTGAAAAGAACAAACACATATACATATACATGCGCAAATCAAAGTATAATTCAAGCACATAAATGTGCACCAACCCACAATTTATTCACTAGTAAATTTTATGACTACATATATGACATATTCTTCAGCATATAGATAAATAGGTCATCTTAAAATAATACGATATAGCACATGCGCATACTTATCAAACTATGATATATATATGCACAATACACCAATGCACAATATTTATGCCGTATTCACTAGTAAATTTATGATTGCATAGTTAACATATTTTTTGGCATATGACCACACACTCTTTGGCACATAACGAGGATGTATAAATGTATACATATATTGATACAATAGGATGCGAAGTTAGTGAAGTATCCTAGGTATCCCCTACCACATCCATATCACATAGTATCAACATGGATAATTCATCAGAAACCACTAACCAATTATCAACGTTGATAATCCACAGTCAAGGAGATTTAGTGAAATTAAATACATTAGTACATTTGATCCAAATAAAATATCCACATAATTAAGGCTAAATTGACCCAAAATGATATCATGTAAGTGTCATAAAATGTTTGTACCTTCCCTTCTTTTCAGGGTAGTTCAGCAGTGGGGTTCAAACTTAGGAGATATTATTGGAACTGTCAACACCTTGACCAATCAAGTCCAAGTCTGAACCCATGTCAGCTTGTTTGGCTGTTCCTAGGACAAACTTCAAGGTTTCAAACCCATGATCTCCCTCAACCGGATTGTCTACCACTAAGCCGAAGCTGACGGGCTTAATAACTGTCCTATATAAACGCCAATCTTAATGAAAGGAGCTTATGTGGAAGATACACCACAGGATAGGCTAAAAGCCTAAAACCACTAGCATGTTCCAATACCTACGGACATGGGGAGCAATAAGTTACCTTTAAGCTCCAAATGCAGTGACATTTCTACTAGCTCCTCTCTAATGGGGATATGTGTACTATAATATGAAGAAATATATTAAAAAACACAGTCCATAGGGATCACTGTCCGACAAACTGATGGATTAGAGATGGAGAGGACAGCAATATTTACCAAAATAGACATGACCAAAACAGTGCATAATCTCTCATTTCATTGGACAATGATGGGACCTATGGAATAGGGTTTTCCCTAGCTCAATTGGATTTATTTTTTACTTTCCCTCCACAGGCACTCGTCTAACTTACAAAGATAATCATAGTACGACTCCATGGTGATTGTTAGATGAATCATCATAATACTTTGGAACGGTTGAAGGAAAAAACACACGGCTTTAGGATTTGAGCGAAAACAATATAGTGAATTGGGGCACTATAAGAGAACGATAGAATGTCTATCACTATATGATGATTTAAGGATAGAATGTGTAAATTTATGATCAACAATATAATTTGCGTCAATTTATCACCAAAATATAGAATGATCGCCACTGTATGATCGGACAATGGAATGTGGTTTACCACATAATAACCATATATATCAACATATTAATTGACTATTCTAATAGTCAAAATATTAGCACTTTCTGGAATGGTAACATCCAGATGTGACGAATACAAAGTTATACTTTCCTGCTATATACTTGACTACTCGTCAGAAAAATAAAACTTTTATTATTAGCTGAAAATAAATTATTCCTTGAATGAGTAAGTACTATGCCTTTTCACCAACATAAATAACATGTTGAGCCAGTTAAACCTACTTTTGTGTGGAAAAAAGGAAAATATTTGAATCAAAAGGCATGTTAAAAATCTCATCAAGAATCTACAAACATGAGGATAGCGGAAGGGGGAGGGGGAGGGGGAGGTCAGATTTTCCATAAGCACTAAAGTATATACTGAGATTCGGAAAATTAGGATTCTTAAACGATGCTTGAAAGAGGCCAGAAACAAATGCTTGGATTAAGGAAAGTACGTTTGTCAAATCTATTTCCGAGCATAAGTAATTTTTTATAAATTAAAGGAGAAAAAGGCCACACTACTCGAAATTTGACCAAATTTCATTTGAATTTCAAATTAATAGATAACCTTCCTATTTAGTTAAGATTCCACGCCAAGCGAGTTTCCTTTACAGCATATGAATTGGCTTTTGCCATCAATGAAGATTTTAGTTAAGATAAAGGAATTGGTTGATCTTTGCTGGAGCTCAAGGCACAATCGCCAACATGCAGATGTCCACTAACATGCATCTTTTCCTGTTTTGGTCAAAAATGATTTATGAAAAAATTCAAATGGAATTTGCATAAAGTCTAATTCGTGGCCTAGATGATGTGTTGCTTCCCAAATAATAAAACGTAGCTACAAATTTTCGCGTCAAGCAAGACTAGTTGAGTAAATTAAACTACGCCCTAACCCAACAATATGGTAATCCTAGTTTAAGTGTTTGTGATGAGTCAATTTACTTGCAATCCAATAATTTCCAAGTCTTGATACACAATGCCAAGTCAAGACTGTTAAAACATAAGGAAAAAGCACACAATCCATAATAACCACAGAGTAGATGACAAAAAAGAAAAAGAAAATCACGACAAAAAGACAAATTTGCTCACAATGCAATAATTCAAGGCCTCAAATTGGAGATACATACACATCCGCAAACTTGCTGCTGCCTTCACCTCTGATCCGGAGGATCCTTTCCCAGCCAGGGGGAGGCTGTTGGATATTGGGTTTATCGATTGCCCAAAGCCTGGTTCCATCTTGACGGATATCAGGTGGATCACGACAAGACACGTCTGGGCGCCACTCTCGAGCTCTCTCACATACCCAAGGATCCTCCAAAATTCGACATCGAATAGCTTCGTACTGCTCCTTAGAGGGAATCAGTCGCCATTTTAGGCATGTAGCACATTGGACAGTAAATGCTCCTATAGAGGGCAAAACCTTTCGAGTCCGAACACGACGATTGTTTAGGAACTGAGGTTCTGGAGGTGCATCATATGTGTCTGAGAAATTATCATCGGATTCATCTGCCTCGGCAGGCTGATAAACTACCAATTGATTTTGCGCATCAGAAGGAGAGGACTCTCTCTCTTTCTCTTTTTCTTTTTCTTCCTTCTTCTCCTCCTTCTCCTCCTCTTTCCCTTTCTCCATATCCCCCTCTTTCTCTTTCTCCTCTTTCACCTTCGCTTTGCCCTTCCCCATCTCTTTTTCTCTCTCATTGTCTCTGGCCAGATCTTGCAGTGGTTCTGTAGGAGTTTGATCCGATTGACTCTGGGCAACTGAAATGAGAGGATCATCATGTCCCTGCTCCTTCACAGGGAAGGTCTCATCTTTTTCCAGCTTCACTGTACCAAGTGGACCTTCTGACATCTGAATAGAGCACGTTGGTTGCTGCCTGTAGAAATAAATAAGGTAAAATTTTCATGTCATTCCAAACTAAGACTGAACTGAGAAGCCAACTTATTTAATGTATACCTGAGATGATTTGCCTGAAACATAAACAATACTACATTAAGGATCTTGAACGCAATGAAATAACACCCATGCAAACCCAGAGAGTGCACTTATGTAACAACTGATGTTCCAATCATTATCTATCTTCCTTCCCTCAAGGTTGAGTCTAATACTAATAAGATGTGAATGAGGAAGTGCTTACTCTCCATCCTGCTTATATGACCTATAAAGGAGATGACTACTCTCCAAGCCATTTTGCAGGACTCCAAGTTAGACAACCGGGTAGTTGAAATCGTGAAATCTGCCTTCGTTTTCAAATTAGAATAAAATGAAAGAAAAGAAAATTCTGAACCTCAATTAAGGATGAACAAAAACAAATGAAGTAACAACGAGGGAACCTCTGTCCCCTAATGATTTCAACTGAAATGTAGTTTGTTTTTCTCTTCCTCCCGGGACAACCTTTTGCAATACAACTGAGATTAAGACGAGATCCTTCTTGTTCACCAATAAGCAGATCAACAGCAAACTAACACATTCAGAAACTTGCATCATCCAAGAAACCTAGAACACCAAAAAATTCTTCCACGAATAGCTTTGAGATGGCAACAAGCCATCCATTGTGTCGCCCGTCCTATTTGGGAGCTTAATTAAAATAACAGTTATGATTGTTCAAAGCCAGCACAGGCATGATTTTTTGTTAGACAGATGCAGAGGACCAAACATCCTTTAGATGTCCACATAAATATGGCATTAAACAATTTAATGCCAGTGTTGAGTTAGTTTATATTAATAGGAATTATGTGACCTCGATCTTTGCTCTTGATCAACGTCAAACAACGTCTTCTTTAAAAAGATCTCTGAAAAAGAAGTAACATTTTGACCTATGGGATTAAGTACAACAATGGACACACATGAAATCAATACCAATAATTAAACAAGTCTGAAGATTATTCACAATAAGTTATTAATTAACGAAAGATTGATGTAACTTTTTACCAACATAAGTGTGGAACTTTCCATAGATGATGGTAAAACAATCAAACCATTTGAAGTAATTCAAGCAGTCATCCATAACATAAAGTGTCCAGAATATGAAGAACCTTCATATTGGTGTCATTAGAACCGCACTGGCCACCAAATTGGCCAGGGGTCTAATCTGGTCAAAACATTCCAACTAACAGTTACACTGATTGGACAGTATTTTTAAAAAGTTTAAAAAAGAAACAAGAAGAATAGTTTAAAAACATTAAAAATATAACATAAGAAGTTGTTTGACCTTGTTTTGCTGGCCCAACAATCAAAACTACCAAGTCCGATTGGTCAAACAAAGGTTTTGGCTGGTTTTCAACGATACCTGGTTCTTGTTTTAGACCAAACCAACCAATGCGGCAATTTGACCAATCGGACCCAACCGGTTTGGGTTAGTGCGGCCAAAACCTTCCAACTAGTATTTGCATTAGTTGGACAGGATATTTAAAAAAATTTAAAAAGAAACAGGAATAATAGTTTAAAAACATGAAATGTATAAAACTAAAAGTTATCTGAGCTTGTTTTGCTGGTCCAACAATCAAACCGCCAAGGCCGATTTCTCAAACATGGGTTTTGGCTAGTTTTCAATGAAACCTGGGTCTTGTTTTGGACCAAACGAACCTATAGTCGGCAATTTGACCAATCGGACCCGGCTGGTTTGGTCCATTCTTGACAACACTATTTCATTTAATAGATATGGGGTTTCTATATTCAAAGAAGAGTGTTAGTAAAATTAGTGCAGGCATGCACTCCTTTGAGAGTAGCTGGAGAAACATGGCTTGTGAATCATGGTAGATGGGTGGATGAGCATCACACAGAAAACTTTGGTAAACCTTAATGTTCGTCGCTCTAAGGGAACTATATTTCTACAATCTATTTAATGTTTCAAAGAGTCATCAAAGATATTGGGTCAGAAAATATATAAAAACTTGAATAAAACAACAAATCAATTGTGGCTGCAGGGAAATTGCTAACGACCAGATCAATGGTTACGGTTGTGATGCTTGATGAACTTTGGTAAATATCTTGGCTAAATCAAAGATATTTAATCCATTAAGCTGATGCAACAAATGAACCATATCAATGAAAATAGATCCAAGATTCAAATGGAAAGCATAATGAACCACTAGCACTAGCATCTATAAATATTATGATTTTGACATCTGATTAATCAATAATGCAAGAGAGCCACAAAAGTTTAAGGATTGAGCGACAAACAGCTGTTTGAAATTCAAACCACATCATCAACAAACGCAAGAAACCTCTATTTGTAATATATAGGCCCATTGGCGGTTTAAGGAACATATCCACTATCAGGCCACCAAAAACAAAAAAAAGTTGAACAACAGCTTCTCAATTATCAACTAATAATGATGACATGAGCAAAACACAATAACAAAAATAATCATATCAATAATCAGACCCACTCCACCAAGCATAAACGTGATAAAATGTGTAATGTGAATAATCGCAAACTTTAAATAAAAATTAAAATATAGTAAAGGGGATAATTCTCTTAAAAAATGCATTAGAGAAAATGAATATGCCTCTACTAAAGTTTTCAAATTGCATGCAGTAAAAATAGACGATCATACAAGCATTTTGCACAATGCAGTACTTCCCACATATATTTCATTATATCTGTGAACCCACTCTATAACTTCAACTAAGAAATAGAAAAATTGAAAAATTTAAGAGGTTTGTAGAAATTGAAAAAACAAATTTTTTGCACAATGCATTGCCTTTCATTTTTTAAGAAATTGAAAAATTTTATTTTTTTCCTCATTAAACATTTGCACAGCCCCATGGTGGAGGTTTGTAGAACTGAGCAAAATTCCAAAATCTAACTTTCAAAAGAAAAAGAAAAAAAAAATCATTACCACCATTAACGACAATACAACAACACTAATGACAATTATAAATAATCAGGGAAATGTAAGAAAAAAAAAAACCACAAAAACTCATTCATAAAAAAAATTATCATTACACCCATTAACAACAATACAACAACACTAATGACATATATAAATAATCAAAGAAACATAAACAAAAAACAATACTTATCACAAAAGCTCAATCAATTGGAGAAAATAAGAGTTGAAGAGCTGGTTTCGATTTCCATAAATGGAAATATTTTCGAAGAACGTAAAAGGAAATGAAAAAGAAAACAACCATGAAAGCTCAACAACTGCATGCATGACCATCCCAAACAACCATCTGTTAAATGACCAATAGATCATCTTATCTTAACCATATACTCGGTACTCATTAATGATTTCGGACCCAAAATAACAGAGTCCGTATAAATATCGATAATGGAGTTATCCTATTAATATTTAACCATTGTTATATGTAATGCAGAATCCAGTTTACAAATCTCAAAGGATCACATAGCCATGTAACAAAACAGGAGATAAAAAAAAGCAAATAAACAAATAGAAAATCCCGATCCCACAAAAATCAAAGCATTGTTACCGAAACCGACTTGCCCAGGGAAACAAAATTCCCGCAACAAAGCCTAAATCAGCGGGTGCGATAACACAAAACAAATCCCATTAAAACACAGTAAAAATGATTTCGGCACATCACAAATCTTATTCGAACTCAATCCTATATAAAATCCTCAACAATATATTTCATCACATAAAATGATGAATCCATTCAAATATTTGAACCAGACAAAATCCTCGACAAAACAGACCCAAATCCATAAAAGAAAACCAGAAAAGTACCTGTAAATTCCAGGAAAAATGAGCGAGTGAAGATCACAAACCTTCAGCGGTGGATTATATAGGAGCCTATTTTCGCAACCTCCATTAAAAGACTGTAAAAAATACGTATAATTATACGGTCATTGAGCACGCCTATACGATTCCATGGCGTCAAAGGCAAGGCTTAAGTTCAGCTCCCCCAACTCACTGAGAGAGTAATTACCGGACTTGTTATGCCTATTTATAAACTCTCTGAAACTTTTATTAATTATCATATAACTTTTTTGACATCTCATAACTAAGACTTTTAGTATTATTATTATTATTATTTATTGCTACGAGGCCTCCATGTGTAGAATCAATGTATTTTAAAAATGACTATAATGCCCCTGTATTTTACTATAACGCCCTTTTATACGGCCTGATAAGGGTGATGACACGTATCGCGTATTCTGTGCAGTGACCTGTAAAGCGTAGGTATACGGAAAATTTACGAAAATGCCCCTGCAATGGTTGAAGAATGGAGGATTATTCAGTGGATTTTTTTTTGTTTATTGGAAAAAATGATTTATGAGTCGCTTGGATTTGAGCTGTATGGTCAAGAATGGCTCAGATTTTGTGCATTAATACAATTATTATTTTGAGGAATGACGGGTGCGTTGGACCTCGAAATTTACATGAATGTGCCTCTCATTCAAAACCCCCTAATTTGGATTGAGAATTACCGGACAACATTAAAACTACCGAGTGAGCAATCCTATTCTTGTTGCCTTTAGAATCCCCGATATTATTCTTTTATGAGTACTTTTATTTCTTTTTTTACCAATTTTTTGCCTATATAGACCAACCGGATTGGTCCAATACCTAGCCGGTCCAACCGGTTTAACTCTCATTTAGTCGCTCAAAATGTGAAAAAAGTTGAACTTATAAAAAATATTTGAGATAAATGTGTCCAACATTTTCGACCGTCCATTTATTCTCTTCTCCTTCAATCTTAGTGGCCCGGCCTTTTTCGAGATTTGGAGAAAGGTGGATTTTTTAAGATCTTGTAATCTTTTAGATGAAATCTAAATTACTAAATGTCCTTTATATTTAGTGGCCACGGCTTATTTTGGGAGGTTACTTCAACTATTTCTCGAGATTGGAGATTACATGAATGTGCCCTTTTTTTATAGAGAAATATTGTCATATAAATCCACAATTTATGAGAAAAATCTTGCTAAAATTAATAAGGTTAATGTATTTTCTTAGTTTAGATGAAGAAATATTATCCTATAAATCCGAATTTTTACCCTCGATAATCGTAAAAATATTAGCCTTTTTTAGAAAATTTTGATACACTTCATAAATAAAATCCAATATCCAATACGTCACTTGTACATGAGTAGGGAGTGTGCACTATTGAGCACGGTGCACCACAACAATGTTATAACGGTCATTGACTATAAAACTGTTTCAACTGCTGTTATAACGTCCCGTTATATTGTTTTCTAGATTTTTTTTAGGGGATAAATATTGACTAACGATGTTATATTCACGTGACATCCAAAGACTGTCAATGTTATAACTGGCGTTATAACGTTTTTCGCAACTTTCTGCGTCGATTGATCCTATCGATCGTGTGTTTCACCACACCTTCTTCTAGTCCAGATGCAAATAGCAAAGAATAGCACGGTCCCGCGTCATAATATCGAGTAATATCGGGACCCGCTTGTCCACTCACAAATGACTTTAAAAGGAAATTGTAAGGATATGCTACACCAAAGTGCGGAGTATCATAGTATCACACCCTGTAATTCGTTGGTTCAGTGAAACTAGATTGCACTATGAAGGTTTCACATGTAAAATGTGCATGTATAATTCTTGTGAACGTTGATCTGTACCATCTAGCAACTATTATTGTTGATACCAAGGTTGAAATAACTCTTAGGATGGTTGGATTCCGACGTTGAATCCGATTCCGACTCTTCAAGGCCCGAACTCGAGTTCCCCCGATTCGACTTGGACAAACCCCAGCTGAACACGGAATGTAGTGAACATTTTTAGAACCATAAAAAAGAGACTATGTGATTTTAGGGTTTTTTCGGCCGGAAACCGCCCAGCCCTGATCAGGTCTGACTTGGGCTTTCAGTGGAACCAGCCATTTTTCAAACACATTGACTCTAATCCTAATTCAATTAACGTGATCAATATTTACGAAACTCTGTGGACGGTGGAGAATTCTATTTTGCACGTAAAAATTCCTATCTATGAAAAGATTATTTTTTTTTGCCCACTTTTATAAGCATTTGGATGCGTACGTATGTGAATCTCTGGCATAAAATGCCACCTCTTGTTTCATATAAACACTCCAATGTGTGCACCTTGTTTGTCATCACCAAAAAGGTTGACCAAAAGTGTCTTTCTTGACAAAGATATCCTTTGTTGTTATGGATCACAAAAGTCTCTCTCTCTCTCTTGTTGACCTCGTCACCCTACTATGCATAAAGATTTACATATAAAAAAAGTGTACGTATCATACAACTTATCAAGTACTATTATATAGAGGGAAAAGTTTATTTTATGATATAAGGTGTATCTCAAAAATCTAGTAGAAAAAATTCTTTTAAAGTTGGAAAATCTTATAATTGATCGTACTGAGCTTGAGATGTATGAATACAAAGAAAAAAAACGAATTTGAAATCCTAAAAATAATGTACCTCATACCAAGTTATCAGCTCAATCTATTTTCAAGATTGTCAAGTATTTATAATCTACTCAAACATAGGCCTTCAGTCCAACTTCGAATTTTCGACACCAAATAATATATTAAATGTGGACATTGTAGTATGCTCATGATACCATTGTTCTAAATCCATAAAGGCTCTTTAACTATTAAATCTATGGTCACTTCTAAAAAGATAATTTTAAGCTATTGTAGTATAGACTACAAACATCTTTTCCATGATTTTGCGCATTGTTGTTTAATGGCTTTCAAATGAATTTGGAATGGAAAGGATAATATGGTACTCATGACAACATAGACAATCGTAATGAGTGCCATCACCATCCAATTGATGGGCAGACGGCGATAGAGAAAGTGGAATGACCACTCTCTATATGTCACTTGGATCATTTAGGCTTCAGCTTAGTGGCAGACATATTGGTATGGAGGACGGAAGTCAATGCATTCGACCCTTTGCCTAAACAAGCTGAGTGTTAGTTTGGATGTACCCAAAATCTATAGACTTTTTGGATCATCATCCAGAAATACAGCGATGATCACATTTTGGATAGTTCAATGATAGGAATCGAACTTGAGATGTAGCATTTCATAGTAAAATCTTACAAAATTAGATGATTCTATCTCATCCTTGGCAAATAAAGCGTGCATGCTCCAATTTTTCACTGATGGTGATATCCTCTCACTGGAAAATCCTTGGACATCCATGTTCAGTACAATAGAAGATAGAACTCCTTAAGCTTCTCCTTCTCTAAAAACCCGCCTTGAGTTTTTGCTTGTTCGAAACCTCATGCTCCGAGTTCTAGTGTTCTGAGACTGGGAGTGATGAAGCAAGTAATTAAGTCTATGTTAGGGTTCTCCAATTCTGACACTCTAGACATGACTCCTGAGAAAATGATGGATAGAAGAGAATTAGAGGGTTTGAAAGATGAATCCTTGAGGCTCTGAACAGCTCTCTATTTAGAGAATGTGCTTAGAGATTAGCTAGTAAGAGAGTCTCTTTTCATAGTTCAGTCATTTGCCCTCTTGACTAGCCTTTATCTTCATATTAGAATCAGTAGTGTCTCACTCTCTCAATAGGGTGGTGGGAAGGGATACACAACCAAAAAAAAAAAAAGGCTTTCAGAACACCGTGAGAATTTTGCAAGAGTGGATCAAGAACTCCAATTTTGTTTCAACTTTTGTATGGAAAACTTGTAATTTTTGAGCCATGAGTTCATTTCATGGTATTGTCAATAAAGATACCATTTATTTTTTTTACATAGAGGTCACCATCATTCTTGTCTTTTAAATTTCAAAATGGGTGGTTGTAAATAAATAGACACAAAATTCATTAAAAAATAAATTTTTGGACTTCGTGACTCACCCCAAGCCAACCAATTTGACATATAATGAGTGAGAATGATTATCACCTCCATGTACAAACGATAAATGGTCTCTTTGTAGACAATCCCTTATTTTATTGGACAATGAAGCTAGTTGATTGTTTAGTAGTTGACAATTGCAACACGTCCCAAGTTCAATATCTACAGAAGTGAATAAAAATGATTTATAAAAAACATGTGAACCCCTCATTGCCATGGTCAAAAGCTGTTTCTAGATATATGACTTATTCTAAAAGTACGGTCGAGCATTAATTCAAAGGTAATTCTATATTATAAAGATCATTTGCATTACGTGCAAGAATGTCAAAATCACATTTTCCTCATCAAATGTAAGATTTTGCTGCCAAAGGTAATATCATAAGGATATATCATAAAGTTCAATAAAAATTTTATGGGACTTTAAGTGCGTACAAAGATATACACCTCCAGTATCTAAATTTCACAACATATTCTCACTTTTTCGTACCAAATTAAGTGGCCTTATTGTAGATTTTTTTTTCATTAAAAAATTTTATTGCCATTTTGACGAATAAGGAATGCTCTAGTTTTCGTAAACCATGAATGGAAGCTCATTTTGGCGATATTTTTCTTCATCGTTCAATGTAAAAAAAGCTCATTATGTAGTTCTTTTTCTTCTATTTCTTTTTTTATTATTATTCTCATTCGTAGTTCTTCTTCTTTCATCATTTAAAGGAAAGGAAAATGAGAATGCTATTATATAATGGAAGCAAGATACAAAATTGGGATTTATTTTTCGGGATAAATTTCTTGAAAGGATAAGCAACAACATTCCCAATTGCAATTTTGATAAATACAATGCAATGCGGAGGCTAATACTTTGGAATTTCCATAATATTTTAGTTCATAGTAATATTATAAAAAAAAAAGTTGTTTTGGGGGGGGGGAGGAACTAGTAAATGTGACACCATTTGTGTTGAGGATTGATGTTATGTATTCTGAGACTTAATATATATCCATACAAAGGTATTTCGGTAATTTGTACCATCCATCTGAAACTCAATATATATATTGTTGCGATTGATCTAGGATTAAAGGAAAAACGCAGATTGTTATGTAATCAGAGAGGCGTGAAGAAGAGAGTTTTTTGTAACCTTATTCTCTATTG